CCACAAACAGCCTGTCAAAGCTACTGAGCAACTAAGTGAGGCCCCCCCTGCCCCCACCCCGACTTCCTCAGGCTTGGCGGGTGGGACGGAGGCTACCCGAAATGAAAACCAGGTTGACGAAGCTGCGGCTGAGCTCAGCCTGCTTATGGCTGTTCAACAGAGTTTCTCGAGGGCTCTCCTCAAAGGGATCGCCATTCCGCTTTGCTGTTTCCTTCACTCAGAAGGCAGGAGAAAGAGGGGTGGGTAGCCGTGGGGCTGGAGCAGAGTTGGGGATGGGGATGGGCAAAATGTGGGTTCTTCCCAGCAGGATTGATGGTTGGGAATATCAAAGGAACTCTGCCTGGCTGGAGGAAGGAAGGAAGGAAGGAAGGAAGGACAGAAGACGGAAGCTGCTTCAATATCTGGAGCAGCTTTCTCCCAACCGCAGCCTGCCAGAGGGCTCAAACCATCGTCCTCAGCCTATCTGACTTCCTGGAGAAGGATCACCAGGTCTCAGATGAATTGGCCAGATAGGGTAACCGTTGCCCCAGCAGACAATCAATCCCTGGAGGGTGCTTTTTTGGTATTCTCCTAAGAAGTACCGCTTCATAGAATGCCCTAGGGAGCCAAACTGGATGCATGGACAGGGGATGATGGAGCTTTTGTCCTGCACATCAGGAAGATGGAGCAAATCAGATGAAAAAAAAAAAAAAACTATGTCGCACAGACCCCTTTTTAATTTTCCCAGAACACTTCGCTTCTTTAAAATCTGGGCTGTCAGAATTCTGAACACATTCTTCATTTCTCTTTTTGTGTCAGGTTTCTTGCATTTTGTGATAAATCCCTCACTCTTGTCATACCTATTTCTCACCAAGTGTGTGATTTTCTTTCGTTTTTCTTTTCTATCTTTCCACGAGGAGGATTCTGCCCGGCCTGGTTTGTTGTCAGTTCTGTTGTCCTCCAGGTCTCTGTCCTTGCGTAGAAAGAGGCTCTCATATCAACTTCCAGATTAAAAACACAAACCACCGAATTTAAGAAGAATCAAAACATTGGTAAAACCAGAAAAACAAGAGCAAGGTTGAGAAAAAAAATGGTTTTGGAAAGAGAAGATTGCCAGAAGTTAAAATGAAACAAGTTATAGGAGGGAGGGAGGAAGGAAGGAAGTAGAGAAGAAAAGGAATGAAGAAGGACTGGAAAGGAAGGAAAGAGGGAAGGAAGAAGAGAAAGAAAACAGGGACGGAGGAGGGAGGGAGGGAGAAGAGATAGGAGAAATGGGAGGGAGGGAGGGAAGGTTTATGTGGCTGGTTGAGGAATTCTGAGAATATAAGGCCACACACTTTAAAGCTGAGAAGCACTAGCCTAAATCATTCAAAGAAAGATCACCCCAGAGGTCTGATTCACAATATTTCTTGGGAGGTTAAAATAATAGCAGCCAGTCATCTTTTTTCAAATCACCTCCTTCTGGAGAGGCAATTGAAAGCCAAGAATTCTCATCACTTTCCTCCCTGTTTTCTGTGTAGAGGACTAGAAACTTATACTTCCCCCAAATGACATAAACTTTGAAAGGAAAAGGCTAACTGGAGTTTCACAAGATTCTAGATTAGAATCGAAAGGGATTGGATGTTTGACATGCACGACTACGTGGAGGAAACTCAACCGGTCTTTTAAAAGCTGTGTGTGTGTGTGTGTGTGTGTGTGTGTGTGTGTGTGTGTAGTATATCCCATTTCATTAATTTCCTGGAGAATACATACACACAGATATTTGGGGGTGGGAAAGAGCTACCACTTTCTGTTTTCCATTAATATAATTATAAATGGCATTTTAAAGGGAAGCAGAGTACCGAATACCGTTTTGATGGCTTTTGGGGGGAGGGGGGGACAAAGACATGGTAAGCTTAGTAGAAAGAATGAGGATTGCTTAGGGTCAAATGTTATGTGGTGGTTGTTCTTATATCCTTGTTCCTTTTAAAAAGAGAATGGCGTTTGGCCTCTGAGAATTCGGAGGGCCGCTTCAACCCACTTGAGCAGGAATTTCCAGGCTAAAATATCCCAAACTGCTAAAGGTCATTCTCGACTTACAACATTTCATTAATGACCATTCAAAGTCACAACGGCACTGGAAAAAACATGACCGTTTTTCACACTTACGACCGTTGCAGCAGCCCCAGGGTCACATGACCAAAATTCAGGTGCTTGTCAACTGGCCTGTATTTATGACAGTTGCAGTATCCTGGGGTCATGCAGAAGTTGTGAATGTTCCAACACTGGAAGTTTAAGAAGAGATTGGACATCCATTTGTTCAAAATGGTATAGGGTTTCCTGCCTGAGCAGAGGGTTGGACTAGAAGACCTTCAGGGTCCCTTCCAACTATACTATACTATTCTATTCTATTCTATTCTATTCTATTCCATATTCTATTCTATTCCATATTCTATTCTATTCTATTCATGCAATCACTGTTTGTGACTTCCTAACAAGCAAAGTCAGTGGGGTTCACTTTATAATTGTATTACTAATTTAATAACTGCAGTGATTCACTTAACAACTGCTCAGCAATGGAAATTTGGGCTTACACATCCCTTTCACAAACCGATGTTGGTTTGCTGGAGAGGTCTGAGACATCTGGAGAACATTGTTCTGTCTTCTGAAAGTCCTGTAACAAAAAAGGCACTCCTAGGTGGTGCATTAAATGAAAACTATGCAAAAACGCCCCCAAAAATCAACCACAATGCAAATAGAAAATCTGATGGATACAGCTAACTATTCCTTGACCAGCTTAAGAAGCCGCGTTGACATGAACTGTACAGTTGCATTCCACAAGTGGCTGGAATTGTCCACAAGATGGAGCCAAAGAAAAATGAACTGTGACTTTTCTTCTAGCAAAATCTCCCCCCCCCCCCTTTCTCATTTCTCCATCACAACATGCTTTCTTCCCAGACACATGTGTCCTTCAAGCCCAGCTTGGCCACCCAACTTTAAACACAGACAAACTGTGGCAAAGCGCCAGAGAGGAAGGAGCCGAGAAAGGCAGAGGGCGGGATGCCTGCACCACTCTTCAAAAGTCGGATCGTGGGATGATGAACGCAAACATTGTGAATAAGCAAAGACAAATGGTTGGCCACACCACAGTGACACCGAGTTTGTGCAATGCAGCTGGTTGTTGGAAGGCCACCTACATGTTTGCATGTCCTCCAGCATCTTTTAGAGAACAGAAATAGAACAGAACAGAATAGAATATAGAATAGAAATAAGGAATGAATAGAATAGAAATAAGGAATGAATAGAATAGAAATAAGGGAAGAATAGAATAGAATAGAATAGAATAGAATAGAATAGAATAGAATAGAATAGAATAGAATAGAATAGAATAGAATAGAATAGAATAGAAATAAGATCTTGTAGTAGGTCATCTAATCCAACCCCTTACCCAACCAGGAGACCCTACATCATTTCTGACAGGTGGCAGTCTACTCTTTATTATTTTTATTATTTTATTTATATTTTATCCTGCCTTTGTTATTTTTATATCCCAGGGTGGCAAACATACCTATATACTTTCCTTTCCCTATTTTCCTTACAACAACCTGGCGAGGTGGGTTGGGCTGAGAATGACTGGCCCAAAGTCCCCCAGCTGTTTTTCAATGGCTGGCTGAGGAATTCTGGGAGTTTGAATTCCACGGGTCTTCAAGTGGCCAAGGTTGGTCGCCTCTAGTACAGGGTCTCCTGCTAGAGCAGGAGTCTTCAAACTTGGCAACTTTTAAGACTTGTGGACTTCAACTCCCAGAATTCCTCCGCCAGCTTTAAAAGTTGCCAAGTCTGAAGACCCCTGTGCTAGAGCAAGGGGTTGGACTACTCCCAGGTCCCTTCCAACTGTGTTGCTGTTCAAGTACTAATTCCGAATGGCCACTAGATGGCATCAGTCTTTTACTTTTCAAAACATTACAGCCCACAACACAAAACCCCGGGAACGGTTGTGTGTGCGTTCTTATGGCCCTTGCTGTACATCGTCAGGGTTAATATAACTTATTATGCGTCAACCTTAGTCAGTTTTCTTTGGCGTGGTTGCATTCTGGCTTAGTGTACAGCAGTGTTTTTCCAACTTGGCAACTTTTTAAGACGTGGGAGCTTCAACTTCCAGAATTGCCCAGCTAGCATGAGGTCCAACTGAAGGCTGCACATCTTAAAGTTGCCAAGTTCGAAAAACACTGCTGTACAGCAAGCACCTAACCTGGATAATTGATGGTTAAGAGGTTTTGCCTGGACGGAACAGGGTCTCACTCCGTCAGGATAACCTTTCCCTGTGCATAGGTACAATTCCAGACCTTCTGATCCACCTTGTGTCTTACTCTGATGTTACTCAGTATTCAAAATTGTTATCTCCAGAAGCTTCACTTTCCCAGACATCCAAAGTAAAGTTCTCTAGTTGTCTTCAGTGGTTCCACATTTGCCTTTGGTAGAATTCTTATTGCATTATCATTCTAGCATTTTTCTTCCTTTCTTCTCTTCCTCTCTCTCCTTCCTTCCACCCTCCCTTCCACTTTTCCTCCTTCCTTCCCTGCCTAGAGCCTCCTTTCTACCGGGGGAAAAGCGACGGGGCCCCTCTGAGCATGCGCAGAGTTCTCCCTCCTCCCGGGAGAAGGAGGAGGAAGAGGCGGAGCGACCCTGAACTCGGGCAGGGCTCTCTCCGCGGCGGGCTCTCAGCGCGCAAGCGCGGTTCCTTCCTCCCCCCCTCTTCCTCCTCCCCCCTCCCCTCCCCTGCTGGGCTGGCGGCGGCGGCGGCGATTTTCATGCTTTTTGCGGCAGCCGCAAGTGAGGTGAGTCGCAGCCCCGCCGCCCCCTCCCGGGCAGCCGTGACCCACGGGCAGGGAGGGGCGGGCGCCGCCGGGGGGCGAGGGAGGGCAGGGGTCCCTCCCGGCTCTGCCCCGGCGGCTTTGCGGGGGGGCGAGAAGGAGCCCCCCCAAGCAAGAGCGCCTTTGGGGCGGGGGGCGCCGTTTCTGCTCCTGGGGGGCTCCGGGGAGGGTAGCCGCGCCCCTCTGCCCGGCGGGAGGGCCCTGCGCCTCGAGGAAGGGGGGTGACGCTCCCCAGCCCCGCACTACATCCCCCATTGCCCCCAGCCTCCCCCGAGTCTCTGGAGGGCGCCAGGTTGGGGAAGGCCAGGCGGGGGAGGCGAGGAAGAGGAGGAGGAGCGGGGCTTCTCCCGGGGAGGAAGACCGACGAGGAGGGGTCTTTCCAGATCCAAAGCCAGCCCCTTCCCCATAATGGGGAGGCATCTCTTGTGCAGAGCCCTCTTTTGCGGCGGGGGTCCACTGGGGTGAAGCAGCCCCCCATGCTTACATAAATAAAGGGGTGGGGTACCCTTGCCAGGCAGTCTGCCCTCCCCCCACTGTATGGGGGGGGCTGTCCCTGGGACTGTTGTCCCTGCTAAGACAAGGAGCCCAGGGGGCGATGAACCCCACAAGCAGACCCCCCCCCCATCCCTCTGATGGGACAGGAGGGCATACAAAAAGGGAAGGGGGTCCTCCAGGTGTGGAAAACCGCCATTCCCAGCCTTCTCAGCCAGACTGCTGGGACTTGTATTCCACCCCCATCCTTTTGGGGGTGGGGTGGGGTTGTGTGACTTTTGGGAGATGGCCAGGGTCCTCGCACACCTTCACACTGATCCTCCTCAGGTGGTGGTGAATCCGCCTCTTCCCCTGGATCTGCACAATACATGGACTTGTAGGTTCACACAACCAGTATGTTATTTGGGCCGGTTGTGAGAACATCACCATCAGTCATTTTAGGCGCATCGGTGGGGTTTTTCCTCTTGGGGAAAATCCCTCTCTGGTTCCAGGGTATGTCCATGACTGAGAAAAATATTATCCCAAACTTTGGCAGGCAGGCAGGCAGGCGAGGGATCGATTAGACTCACTGTTACTCCTGGCAGAGGGACAAAAGGGGAGGGGGGCAGAGGAGAGAGCAAACAGGCCAGATTGCCTGCCTGTCAACTTGTGAACGCAATCCCTGTGTCCGAGTATCCCGTGAAGGAGAGAGAAAGAGGAGAATATTAGGGGATTTAACCTGCCTGCTGCAAGATATTGCATCTTTAAAGGGTTTGGGCATTTTCTCCCATCTTTAAATAGGAATCTAAGGCGGGGGGGGGGTGGAAGGAAAGTTCTTGTGAAGAAAGGAGCAACAGAAGTGGGAATTTGGGGACGAAGGGACCCTCTCCGAGCTTGGGGAGAGCATCCCTTGGCTTTTGGGGTGAGACCTGAGATAAGACGGGACGATAACCCCCCTCCCTTTCTCTCTATCTGTCAGGACAAACTACGGTTGATATCGGGAACCAGCGAAGGGCAGCCGGGCCATTCTGTTTAAACCAATGCTAGATTTAGAAGTTCTTCCCGAACGATCTCTTGGGAATGAACAATGGGAATTCACCCTGGGTAAGTGCCGGATCCCCCCCCCCCCCGTGGGGCTTTCCTCCCAGAATTGGGAAAACCGTTGGAAGAAACATTCATTGGATCCAACATTACCATGTTTTTTTACTGGGTTGGACTTCAATCCCATCATTCACTACTGACACAGCACCAGCTGTGGATGAAGGGAATCTCGGTCTGAACCACCCCATCTGTTGGGGGGAAGATTCATCTCCAGTGCTTCATTGGAGGTTACGGTTAATTAATTAATTGGGAGCATTTAAACCAATGTTTCTCAATCTCAGCAACTTTGAGCTAGGTGGATTCCACTCCCAGAATTCATAGTGTGGCTGGCTGGGGGAATCCTGGGAATTGAAGTCCACCTAACTTAAAGTTACTAAGCTTGAGAAAAATGCCTTTAAACATTTTTTTAACATTTCGCAAAGTGGAGAGCTAACACAACAGTTTTTAAAGCTTAAAATATATACATTTGAAATGAACTTTAAAATATAAAGGAAAGCTGAAATGGAGATACGTTTTGGCAGCTTTCCTGCCTGCATTTAGTAAATTAGCACCTCACCGAGTGTTTTAACAAAGCCACTTCCAGAATAAGGCTAGGATTATGATTATTATTGTCCTTTTTTATTTTGCAAAACTCTGTAAAGTATTTTAAGAAGGCTTCTTGCATACTGTTGTGTGTCCTTAAAGGGGTCGTGCTCTGTTTGGTGTGGCTTCAGGACTCCAGCGTGTTTAGCAACATGTATCAGCCATCACATGAGTGTTGCTCAGATCACCTGGCATGTGGCCTTGTAGGAAGCTGGGCTAAAAAAGAGATGAGGTGTTTTTCCACATTCTGTTCTGGGTGCCATATTTCGGAGGGAAGCTGGCAAGCTGGCAGCTAGGATGCCAGGAAAACGGGAAGGGGTGGTGAAGCGGTTTGGGTGACAGCTGGTGGACTTGAAGTCTTCAGAAAGGGCAAGTTTTGGTTTTATTCAATATTTGTTGCCAGCTTTCTTGGCCTCGCTAGATGGAAAGGCAGAAGGACTGATCAGATCCTGACTTTGAAAAGAGTTCCAAGCCTGCATTTTGCTTGAACTCAAGAGAGACCAGTTCAAATCCTCCTTTCTTTTCATTTTATTGTGTCCATCAGAAACAGACCCTCTCCCTCACAGAGAGACTCTGGCTGGTGTGAAAAATGAAATATTGAAACTTAAAATGCTGGATGTAAAATTTGAAAAGAGGCAAAGATAATTAGGCTGACAGTCATTTCTGGCTGAAAGGACAGCCAGAATTCCCCAACCCCGAGGAATAGCAACAGCCCACAAACCCACAGCCACACTCTGCCAGGAATTATCCAAAACCTAAGGCAAGCTACAGAAGGATGAAAGAAACAATGTAATTTACAAAATTAACTGCAACAATTGCAACCAGTTCCACTTGGGACAAACACCAGGTTGATTAAAAACCAGAATACATGAACGTCGGCCGGCAGTCAAACACCACGATCCCAAATCCCTAATCTCTACCCAGACTGACACCAAACAGCACCAATTTGATTGGAGTAATTCCAGACTCATTGGCCACGCTACCTCCTGCCACGTGTGTGTGTTCATCAAAGCCTGGCACTGCACAAGCAATTCCATCAACAGACACATCAGCCTACGAAACCCTCAGAATAGAAATCAACTGCACAGCCCACCAGGACAGCATTGACCCTCAACCCACCCATTCAAGTCCCCCACAGCCAGCACTTCACTTCCAGTGACCCTCATCTGACATGACCTCTCCATCACAAGAGCCATTACAAGACCCTCGCTTGACACACTCACACCTGACCCGTCACAAGACCTACACATCACAAGCCATTTGTCCAAAATGGTGTAGGGTTTCCTGCCTGAGCAGGGGGTTGGACTAGATGACCTCCAAGGTCCCTTCCAACTTTACTGTTTTTATTATTACTGAGCACACAAAGCCCTTATAAGCAGAAAAACACAAGACACAGAGACACACACACACCCAATTCCACTGAAGATGTTGCCCAGCCTGGTAACGAAACATTCGGAAACAAGCTCGGAGAATGAAGCTCCATTCTTATGCTGAATATTCTTGGCCTGGTCAGTATCTTTAGCTCCTTAGAGCTCTTTAAAAGACAAAATGGAATAGCCTTATGCACAGGTTGTCAGAGGGAAAAACAGAACCAAAAGTATTTTTTAAAAGAAAAACAGGTCTGAAAGGAAGAATCGGATATAGTTTTGTCTCGGTTTCAGTCCTGCATTTGCATTACCAGAATTTTTTATTGGGTGGCTTTGAAACCTGGGTTATTTTCATGCCTGGAGTGTCTTCCGGGGACTTGATTTGAGGTGAGGTGAAATGTTAGTCACTTAGCGGTAGTCCTCATTTAGTGACCAATATCACAGTTACAACGCTGACGAAAAAGCAGCTTAACGAGCAGTCTTTGCATTTCTTTTTTCTTCCCCAACTTTCTAGAGATTCAACGAAGAATAAAATATAGGTAGTCCTTAACCCACCACAACTCAGCCCATAATTTCCATCGCTAAACAAGACAGTTGTGAAGTCGGCCTTGCCCCATTTTAAGACCAGTCTTGCCACAGTTGTTAAGTGGATCACTGCAGGTGTCAGTAACCTGGTTGATAAGTGAATCTGGCTTCCCCATTGACTTTGCTTGTCAGAAGGTCCCAAAAATAGATGCTTGGGTTAAACCAGGGGTAGGCCACCTTGGCTCTTTTATGACTGGTGGACTTCAACTCCCAGAATTCCTGAACCAGCCACACTGAGGGGAAAGGGAGAGGCTTCCAAGCTGAGCCATGCTGGCTCAGGAATTCTGGGAGTTGAAGTCCACGAGTCATAAAAGAGCCAAGGTTGCCTACCCCTGGGTTAAACAGAAGGCTGTTCTTGCATAGGTCTTTAATGAAGGCTGCCTTAAATCCCTATATTTCTTCACTTTGTCAGCCGAAGGTGGAAGCAGCAACATACAGTTGAGTGAGATTCTCCCACCCAGTTGTAACTTTGGGGTTTATTCACGATGAATTGCATCAGTGCAGTCTTTCTCCACCATGGCATCTTTTAAGATGGGTGGACTTCAGCTCCCAGAATTAGCACAATTAATGGGATAATCTTCTCCCATATTTTATCTACTGCGAAGCTTTTCTTCCAGTGTCAGAATGGGATAATTTCCTGCTTCCTACTCACTTGTGTCTTCAGCTCCAGAAAAAGGCATTTATTAGCTTAGCATCCTCAGGCTCCTATTTTAATTTCATGCGCATTGTTCTATTTTTATCTGCATCTTAATCACCGCTCGCTGTTCTTTGCCTCTTCTGCGATGATCAGCATCAATACACTGTAAATAAAAGAAGCTGTTTGGGGGTTTTAATCCCTTTGCAAGGCAGTTGTAAAAATACAACGCCGTGATTTTGGTTCTCCTGTGGTCCTAAATTGGCCAAAGTTTGGCCAATTTTTTCTATTTATTCTACTGGTAGTCCTCGACTTACGACTACAATGGAGCACAAAATTTCTGTTGCTAACCGAAACAGTTGTTAAGTGAATTTTGCCCCATTTTACGACCTTGCTTGCCACCTTTAACTTCCCTTTGACTTTGCTCGTCAGAAATTCGCAAAAGGGGATCATGTGACCCTGGGACGCTGCGACCGTCATAAGTATGAGTCAATTGCCAAGCAGTTGAATTTTGGTTATGTGACCACGGGGGTCGTAAGTGTGAAAAACGGTCATGAGCCATTTTTTTCAGTGCCGTTGTGACTTTGAACGGTCACTAAATGAACAGTTATAAGTTTGAGGACTACCTATACTTGCTTTTTCAAAGAAGCATGCAGGCATCATGCACTGAAGGGCATCTTTTAATCCTAACCTTACAACTTGCATAAATTCTAGCAAATTCTGGATGAGAGTTGAACTCGCGTAAACTTGATTCTGTGCCTCTGTTTATACAACCCATGACTGTATTGTATTGTGTGAATCTCTGTAGCTGTTAAATGAATCGTGTCTGCTTTTTTTCCCCTTTATGAGAATGGGTGACCTTTGCTGGCAGTCTGAATTGTGCCTGGTTGGGATGGAAAGAGCCCTTAATTGTTTGCATTTAAAAGCATACGAGCATCATAACAAGACCGCATCGGCCGTAGTTCTTTATGACAGTCAAAGACCCAAAATATTAACACAACATTAATATGGTTACTAAAGCCGACAAGGTCAGCGAAATATTCACGCTAGCCCATCAACCCTGTATAAATTCTTCAGGCGTTAACGGTGGGATTTAGAGACATTTAGAGAAATTAAGTCCCTCCAATCTGACAGTAGGCACGGAAGATGGAAGTGATTGTCCTGGGAAATTAACCTTTAATGGATTTATGTAATAGGCGCAGATGTTCTTACAGAGAGTGCAAAATAAAAGGAAATGGTTTTTGAGTGGCCTGAGGTTTCCACTTGGAGAGAGTAATATTTCCTATTTTTTCTTCTTGAAAAGCAGAGTCTGAATCTTGCTTATGCTTCCACAGATGCTTCTTTCAAATTTCCTCGGTTCTATGCCCTATCCGATTTTTAGTTTTTTAAAAAAAGAATCTACAGATAGTTCTAACCTTACAACCACTCATTTAGTGAGCGTTTGAAGCTACAATGGCAATGAAAAATGTGATTTATAACCAATCCTCAAACTTAGGCCATCACAGTATCTAGGGGTGAGGTGATAGCAGCCTTCCAATATTTGAAGGGCTGCCACAAGAAAGAAGGGGGTCAACCTATTCTCAATCGGTCAGTCAATCCGAATAGAGTTGAAAGGGATCTTGGAGGTCTTCTAGTCCAGCCCCCTGCTCAAGCAGGGGACCCTTTCAGACAAGTGGCTGTCCAGTCTCCAGGGATGGAGCACCTGCATCTTTTGAAGGCAAGCTGTTCCACTGGTTGATTGTCCTCACAGTTAGGAAGTTTCTCCTTAATTCCAGGTTGGAGACATTTCCTAACAGCGAGGGCAATTAATCAGTAGAACAGCTTGCCTTCAGGCGTTGTGGGCGCTTCATCACTAGAAGTTTTTAAGAAGAGAAGGTGCTTTTCTAAAGCCCCAGAAGGCAGGACAAGGAAGCAGTGGATAAAAACCAATCAAGGAGAGAAGCAATCTAGAACTAAGGAGAAACTTCCTAACAGTGAGAACAATCAACCAAGGGAATAGTTTGCCCTTCACGAGTCGTGGAGACTATTGTGAATGCAGGCAATTCCAACTCAATTGACAAAATCCTGGCACACCATGCCTCAATACAAAGCTGAGCCAACCAGGATGCTGTGTCATTGCCACAGTCGCACCTTGCAAACATCACAATGACATTCTTCATTGAGAAATGGAGGCAGATCACCAGGAAGTTGCAGCTGACTGAGTGACTTAGTCAAGTTAGGAAAAGTATTTCTCTTAATCCTTGAACTGGGTTGCATACAAGTTTTGTTTAGTATGCGTTGGCCAACACTTGATTTTAAAGTGTCTTGTTTGTTTCCCACAAATCTACTGTGCAAACCTTTTTTAAACAGAAGCTGTTCTCCAGTATCTCTGGCTGATATTTTCAAGCATTACCTGCAGAGATGCCTTCAATCCTTAATCTCAGTAAGATAACTTTAAAAACGTTAAGTTAATGAGAAAATTTATTAGGGCAAACCAAACCCTTAAATATATGTTGCTAAGTTTCTGTCGCAAAGTGAAACATTTGTGAATTTTGTCTCATTTTATGGCATTTCTTGCCAGAATTGTTAAATTAGTAACATGGTTGTTAATTGAATCTGCCTTCCCCATGGAAGTTTTAATGTTTTAATTATTTTTCTACTTGTTTTTTAACTTATAAGCCACCAAGAGTCACCTTATAGGGAAGAAGAGTAGCATAAAAATGTAATTAGATGATAGGTAGGTAGGTAGGTAGGTAGAGATGGATGGATGGATGGATGGATGGATGGATGGATGGATGGATGAGGGGTGATGCCAAAATATGGTCTGCATTCTGTATTCTTTTCATTCAGTCTGTTCATTTTATTCCCTTTTATAGATAGGGTCTTAGTAGTGTTCTGTGTTTTATATTCTGTTTTTTGATAAGGCTTAACAGCCAATCAAACAATAATGTTACTTCTGCTCACTAGAGAAATAGATTTGTCTGCGTAGTTTTACTCAGTGTGACATTTCTAGAGAAATTCTTGATTCCTGAACCATATTTTTTTTTTTGCTGTCCTTCATTTATATTTCATCAGTTACCCTGTAAATCAGGCAATAAATTCACAGCCTATAATCAGTTCTGCTGCATGCATTTGTTTTTCTTCGGGTGATAAACAGTTCTGTAGGGCAGTCTTGGAATACAAAGCTATAAAACATTAAGCCTTCTAGGGGATGCTAAAATTTTCTGCTGCTTCTGTAAAATCAGAATACATGGTTGCTCCCTACCTATTGATGATGTGTTACTTTTGCAGAGTTCATGCTGCTTTAGGATTCTGGGATAGTTAATCTATCTGATGTTTCTCAACCTTAGCAACATTAAGATGCATGGATTTCAAATCCCAGAATTCCCCAACCAGCAATATTAACAGAATGACAGACTTGGAAGGGACCTTGGAGGTCCTCTAGTCCAACTCCCTGCTCAAGTAGGAGACCCTATACCATCCCAGACAAATGTTTGTCCAATCTCTTCTTTAAAACTTCCAGTGTTGGAGCACCCACAACTTCTGAAGGCAAGCTGTTCTCCTGATTAATTGTTCTCGCTGTCAGGAAATTTCTCTTTAATTCCTAGTTGCTTCTCTCCTTGATGAGTTTCCATCCATTGCTTCTTGTCCTGCCTTCAGGTGCTTTGGAGAATAGGTTGACTCCCTCTTCTTTGTGGTGGCCCCTTAGATATTGGAACACTGCTATCATGTCATCCCCGGTCCTTCTTTTCGTTAAACTTAAAAGACCTCAGTGAAGAATTTCTCCACCTTAACAACTTTTAGATATGTGGACTTCAACTCCCAAAACTGGAAATTGGCTGGCTGGCTGGCTGGCTGGCTGGGGAAATTCTAGAAGTTGAAGTCCACATATTTTAAAGTTGCTAAAGTTGAGAAACACTAGACATAACCATAATTGCATTTAGCCAGCCCTAAGGAAAGCTGAATCATTAGATATATGGCACTCTTTTCAGCTTTAAGCTATGAATAGACATGTGCATGCAACATTACAATGATATATGGCTTTTGTGCCTCTTAGTTCATAATGTGCCCAAAGGCTGCTTGTACCAAAACAGTCAAACTAATCCTTCTGGACATCTATTTCTGTTTTTAGTTAGCAACCTGTTAATATTCTTATTTCCTGATTATTTTTTTCCCCTCAGTGGGCTGGTAGGGCCATTTTATTCTAAAGCATGTCTGGGTTTACCTATTGCATTCAACAGTTCAATTTACAAGTCATGATTCTGGGAGTTGAAGTCCACAAGTCTTAAAGTTGCCAAGGTTAGGGACCTCTGACTTAGATTGTTAATTTAAGCAATTGTTGATATATTAAGAAAGAAACAAACTAACACTGTTATATTCAAAGATGCAGGTTAGGGACAGTTTTAATGAAGAATGAAAAGAAATGATAAAAATAGTGGTGTGGTGTGGTGTGTAAAAATAGCTTTCAGCTGGATGGAATGCTTTGGGCATAAATTTGTCCAAAACTAAACAGAGCTATAAGTCTGAGTTTAACATTCAGGTGAAGCCTGGGTGGAAAGTGATGGAGCATCCAAGCATAACAAGGATTTCCTTGAGTTGGGAACATATAGACTCTGATCAGAAAGATGGTTTGCCCTAATGTTAGGCTTGTAAGCTGCTAACCACAACAGGCTGAAAAAGCAAAACTTTTGCAGAGTCCTGAATCCAGATTCGCAGTCCAAAAGAAACAGAGAAAGCAGATATTTACTTGCTTATTCATCATTTATTTAAAACAGGGCTATCCAACCTCAGCAAAATGTCTGTGAAGATTCTCCTTCATCTAGGTCATGGTTATCCCAAAGGGGCTTTTTCAAAAGACAACTGGACTTGGTGTTTCCTTGAAGATGTTTCACTTCTCACCCAGAACTGAAGAAGCTTCTTGGATGAGAAGCGAAATGTCTTCAAGGAAAAACAAAGAAAGTCCAGTTGCCTCTTGAAAAAACACTTTGGGCCAAGCTTGGCTATTTTAAGATGTGTGGACCTCAGCTCCCAGAATTCCCCAGCATGGCTAGTGGTGTGTGTTGCTGTGGAAAACAAATTTGTCTAGCGCTATATAGATATTCTGGTAGTTACAGAGTTGGAATTATAAAGATAAACCTGTTGAGCAATTAAAAGTCTCATGGAATATAGCAGATACAAAACCACAGCGTAATTTGCTCGATTTAAATATCTGTTGAAATGTTCCTAGAAGGCCTTGCATTATGATGAAGATATTCTACTTTGTCCATCAGTTTAATAAATGCACATTTAGGCAAAATACACCTTTGACTTCAAATGCTTTAAAGCAGGCACAAAAAACTTCCCTGGCCCACAGATTTTGAGAGTGTTGTGGAAGCTTTCACAAAATGGTTTCCATGGGAATGGCCGTTTTCTGAGGGGGGTTTAATACTAGTAGGCCTCGATTTATGACCACAACCGAGCTCAAAATTTCCATTGCTAAGCAAGACAGTTGTTAAGTGGGTTTTGCCCCATTTTATGACCTTTCCTACCACAGCTGTTAAGTGAACCACTTCAGTTGTTAAGTTAGTAATGTGGTAGTTAAGTAAATCTGGCTTCCCCATTGTCATTATTTGTCAGAAAATCGCAAAAGGGGATCACGTGATCCCGGAACATGCAACCGTCATAAATATGAGTTGGTTGCCAAGTGTCTCAATTTTGATCACGTGACCGTGGGGGTGCTGCAATGGTCATTAGTGTGGAAAATGGTCATAAGTCACTTTTTTCGGTGCCATTGTAACTTCAAACAGTCATTAAACCAATGGTTGTAAGTCAAGGATTTCTAAGTATGTCCATCGGCTTAAAAACTTCCAGCCTCTGAACTCAACAAATCCTCGAGCAGAAAAACATTAAAGGTGCCACCAAAAAACCCAAAATATTCAGGGTATGCTTGCTTTAATACTTTGTCAATGGAAGGAATGTTTACACGAGAGTTCCTAGATAGGGCTGAAGACATAATTGTTCTTATTTTTTAAGAAAAATGTTCCCAATTTTATGGCTCGTTTCTGCTTTGAAAACACAGGATACTTCTCCTGATTTGACGTGGAGTTTACTCACTGCCTTGAAATGTTGTGTGGGTCAACTGGTTCTTCACCAGGGAACAGATATTGCTCCACAAATACTCTGCTGAACCAACACCTTTGCATCAACAGAGTGAAAATAGGAGCAATTGTCTAACTCTGTTTTCCTTTATTTTTCCCTCTCCAGGAATGCCATTGGCTCAGGCTGTAGCAATTGTTCAGAAACACTGTCGTATCATAAAAAATGTCCAGGTTCTCTACAGTGAACAAGTAAGTCTGGCTTAAGCTTGCCTTTTTTTTTTTTTTTTTTTTTTTTTTTTTTTTTGCTGTTTATTGCACGTCCTCCAAGGAAGAGGAAGGTGTCTCAATATTGCATGATGCTATTGTGTGTGTGTGTGTTGGTCCATATAATGTCTAAACATTCATGGCTGTTGCCACATCCTGAGAAATGTAGTTTTAAACCTCACAGTGGCTTTCACGTAGTCTCAGGTGTGTATGTATCAAGTGTATGTATCGTTAGTTTTAATCAAGAGTATTTTTGACCATACCATGGCTTGCAACTCTAAGGGATCGGTGACATGTTTCGCTTTTTACAATCAGAAAATGTATTGGATTCAGGAAGCTGAATTGAATCAGTTTTTTTTTTTAATTTGGATCATTGATTTCATTTGGAAATAAGAGAGTTTTGCACGCCTCAAAACAATTCAGTAATTCGGTTGCATCAAATCTGAATTTCCCAGTTAGATCTCTGAAACAGATCATTAACCAAAAACATGGTTAAACTTTTTGGATTGGGGGAAAAAAGACATTTAGCAGCTTCAAAGAATCACTTATTCAAGATATTATGACGGATTTTCATAATATTTATATTTTATATTTAGGGTTGCATCAGGGATCAAATCTAATCAAAACCAATGAATTCTCCCTTAAAAGCAGAAGAAATAAAAGCAGGATTTAAGACGTATTGACGCTTTAAAGAAATAATTGTGAATACATGATTAAAATCTCATTTGGTATTATTGCAATCCCTATTTTCAGATTCACACTTTGCGGTCTAATATCACAATGCTTCCATTCAATCACACTGAAGTGTGCTTTTGTTTTGCACTCTGTTATATTTTTTTGTAAGGAAAGGGGAGGATTTTAAAAAGAAAAACCTACAAATCACTGATTTCCTTGGGACATGGATTTTGCTTCTTGGAAAGAAAGAAATTGAAAATAAAAAAGCCTATGTTCTTAATAGTCACAATTTTTGTCAGTGCTCAGTATCTGGCTGATTTCGTCCTCAGATATATACCGTTGTTAACTCGACTTTTGTAACTTTATACACACACACACACACAATTATCCTAAAAATTTGAGTGCCAGGTTTATCCATTTAAAACTAGTAAAAACTTTAAACGCTGATCACCAGGACGAAAAACTTTTATTCAATACTAAGCTTTCGTCAGCAACTTTGATGTTGTCAAAGTGTGAGCTAGGCCAGGGGTAGGCAACCTTGGCTCTTTTATGACTGGTGGACTTCAACTCCCAGAATTCCTGAGCCAGCCATGCTGAGGGGAAAAGGAGAGGTTTCCAAGCTGAGCCATGCTGGCTCAGGAATTCTGGGAGTTGAAGTCCACGAGTCATGAAGGGGCCAAGGTTGCCTACCCCTGAGCTAAGCTCTGGGAACGCTCCTCCTTATACGACACAGGCAAGTTCAGAGAGTACCAAGGACCCCTCATGTCAATCCTGAGCTATAAATATTGTCCTTTATTGATAAGAATGGATTTAAAATTTGAAACGGAATCATAACGTTGAGGTGAAAGAGCAGAATTCTAGCTTTTTATTTCCCAAAGCAATTGCGGCTGATTGTATAATAAAAGTGTCTCTTTGGTGATGCATTTTAGTTGTTCATTCTCAGCCAGAAACACGAGGTCCCTGTGAAAGCAGATTTTAAATGTAATCTGAATCTTGTCCAGTGCCTCTATATTTCATTTAAATAACATGAGAAAAAGAAACTTGGCAACCCCAGTTTTGGGGAATAACTGTTTTTCTGGCAGCCTCCAGTAATCTGCAGCCTTTCCTGGTGCCAATTGAGAGAAATCAGCGTCACGTTTCTTTCGGAGAACACGGCTCCAGACATTCTCTGCCAACTCCTCAAAACTGAATTTCTTTTGATTTATTTTCCAGTCTCCTCTCAGCCATGACCTCATCCTTAACCTGACTCAGGACGGAATCAAACTGCTATTTGATGCTTTCAATCAAAGATTGAAGGTAATTCTCATGTTCAAAAGTTAACGTTCTCTCTTTCTCCGCCCTACCGAAAGAGTCTTGTGTGTGCATTAGAAATGTGGATTATTGCAAAGCTGACACCATGTTCTGAGCCACAACGGCACAACTCTATCTCCATGGCTACTGCTTCTCTCAGTATTTGTGTGTTTACCGGGCTGCTGCTGCTGCAGTGAGGTTGATATGGATGCTTTTGTCGTTCTTGATTTAATGCCTTGATTTTAGATCACTGTACCAGATTTGAGTGTGTTGTTTCACCTGGAATATCTGACAGCTTTTGGATAAGCAGCTTTGGAAAGGTGAGGTTTCAAAAGAAAAAGCCTCCCAAATTTGTTAAATGCAGGTAGTCCTTGGCTTACAACTGTTCATTTAGTGACTATTTGAAGTTACAAAAGCCCAAGAAGGCCACTGTAGCTGAGAATTGAGCTATGGATTCAATCCATAGCTCGGTACTTGTCTGCAGAGGCTTTCCAGAAAGGCTTGACCGGAATGCAGTTGGAGCATGAAGCTGCTCCTTCAGCCCAAGAAGAAATGGGCTGGCTGGGTGAGGCTATTAGTGCCGGAGGGGAGTAAGACCATCCCCCCAAAGTAAGACCTGGTGCCTCTTTTGGAGGCAAAAAAAACCCTAAGAACCGGTCTTATTTTCGGGGAAACACAGTATCTCGTATATACCATGGACAGCTCCTCCTTTGCTCTTGACTAACTGGAGCAATATATCAGTAGTATTAAAGGGAATTAAAGGGAAGCCTGGAGGCTTTGCAACTTAAGCAGGCCATAAACTAGGAGAGTTCCGCCTTTTTTAGGGGTCTGTGTTTCCCCCAAACACAGCCAGGGCCAGGGCAACAAGGTATTAGATATAATGAATGAATTTTAAGAGGCGTGGACTTCAATATGCTGGCTGGGGAATTCTGGGAGTTGAAGTCCATATCTCTTCAAGGGATTAATGTTAAAGAAGCACGTCCAAACTAAAAAGAGAAGCAGCTGGAACTAAACATCCTTCTCTTCCTTGGTTTTATTCGCATGTAATTGCAAGTTTAAGTTTTTCTTTGACTAACATACTTACAGAGCTCACATAGGCTCTACAGTTCCAGGGGGCAATGATTAATTTTTCATACTTTGTAATTTACAGTTTGTTCCTCTTTTTTAGGTGATTGAAGTTTATGACTTGACTAAAGTGAAGTTAAAGTACTGGTAAGTAGCTAGACGGTGCTTGCATTGGCTACGAGAAAGACTTATTAAGACATTATTAAGACATTTTCAATTCTGCAGGAGGAGTGTGTCAAAAGACAAAGGATGGTGGCTGCCACTGTACAAACAAATTCCTGCCTTTTTTATGTGCATAGGGGGTCTTCAAGCCTGGACAATTTTAAGACTTGTGGACTTCAACTCTCAGAATTCCTCACCTTCTGACAAGCAAAGTCAAGTGGGGAAGCCAGATTCACTTAACAACCAAGTTACTAACTTAACAACTGCGGTGTTAAGTTGCAAAACAGGGCAAAACTCACTTAACATACGTCTCGCTTAGCAACAGAAATTTTGGGATCAGTTGTGGTGATGAGGACTACCAGTATTATTTCTTGAAAGATGTTGGTGTGATGGAGAGAAAAATGGTTCTTAAATCCATGATGAGAAACTAGCAACAATGCATGTTAATTCTTTGGATTTTCTCTTCTAAACACCCCCCCCCCTTTTTTTTTTTTACAAATTTAGAAGATCTGATGAAAATAAGAAAACGTAGACTTGACTTAAGAAAGCATTCTGTTTCTCACCCCATTAAAGCCAGCAGTTGCAACAAAAGCATTTTGTCCGTGACATGAAAGAGCGTTAAATATACTTTTAAGCCTTTTACCAAAAAGCCTCTGCCCTAGAATTTCATGCTTGAACACATTTGGTTAGAAGCAGAGATAGGATAGGTATTTAACCTGAAACCCTAGATCACAAATAGCTTTGAGCAAGGTAGTTGGTCTCAATTGCAAGTTTCCACGCTGCAAAAAAAAATATGAAACATTCTAGTTTTTTTAGGTTGTGGATATCAGGAGAAAAAGAAACAGTGACAATAAAAGGATCTTGAAGCAGTTTGTGAACGCATTGATTGCTCTGCATTTGACTGATAGGTTTTAATCAATCTTTCTTTTTTCCCCCAGTGGTGTCCATTTTAACTCTCAAGCTATTCCTCCTACCATTGAACAAATTGATCAGTCTTTTGGAGCCACGCATCCAGGAGGTGAGTTGTGATCGTTAAAAAAAGGTGCAAATCTCTCTTGGCAGCTCACGTCCAGAAGGAGCCAAGTGAGTTCCTTCTTCCTTTTAATTTCAGATTCAGGTCGATCACAAAGTGGTAGGTTTATACCAATAGTCCTCAACTTAACAACAGTTCCTTTTGTGACCTTTCAAAATTACACCCAGTTTTTGGAAGCTTAGGAAAACTTCCAGAGACTGAGATGATCCGTTCCTACCAACAGCAGAAGCGGTCTTTCGTTTAGGGTTCGTACGAGTGGACCAGATTCTTTGAAGAAAGGAATTGCTTACAAACCACAGTGTCTGCACTCACACTGCTAAATCAAAACCAAATCAAGCTTGGTGCCACCTTCTCTAATTGGGTGGAGCACGAGAATTGTCCAACCAACATCGGTTGAGAAAGTTCCGGTGTCAGGAGGACAGCAGATAGAAGAAGATCATGGGCTAGAACAATTAGTCACTGGAGCGATTCACCTCCGGAAGGTGTGGATGCTCCGTCAGTTATCAAGGAGAGACCCAACCCTAGAGTTAAGTAGAAATTTCCTGGCAGTGAGAACAACTAATCAGTGGGGCGGCTTACTCCAGAAGTTGTGGGTGCTCCATTACTGGAGGTTTTCAAGAAAATCCTGGACAACCACTTGTTTGGAATGGCATAGGGCAGGGTTAGGCAACCTTGGCTCTTTTATGATTCATGGACTTCAACTCCCAGAATTCCTGACTCTGCAAGGTTCCTTCCAATCCTATTCTGTATTCTCTATTATTCTGTATTCTATTCTATTCTATTCCGTTCTTTCTGTGATAGTATAACACAAACAGACAAGTTTATTTTAAATTTTTATTATATGCCTCAAAATACTGAAAATAATTCATACCAGGAAAGCACCATGTTGCTTGGAAGGGAATTTGCATTCTGTTCGTACGTTACAAGATTTTTTTTTTCCTTGTTAGTAACATTTAATTGTTTGTTTGTTTTAGTCATCAAGCTGAACGTTCTACTAAAAGGTGAAACATTCAAATTCTGCAGGAACTAAATCTGTATACTCTTCTTTGCAATAGTAACAGTGTAAATATCAAACTGACAATGCAGAGAAGCTCTAAACATTGGCCATTCTCATTTATCAACAAGATATAAAGTATCAGAAGCAGATCAACAAAAGAGGATTTAAAAGCCCAAAAATGCCATTTTTCTTCCAAGAATTCAGCATTTTGTAGGAGACAGGAAATCAAGGAAAATGTCTGAGTTCAGACCAGCAACTTACACAGGTAATCCTCAACTTAACAACAGTTCGTTTAGTGACTGTTTCAAAGTTACAACGGCACTGAAAAAATGGCTTATGACCGTTTTTCAGTTACAATCTTCCTAGCATCCCCTCGGTCACATGATCAAAATTGAGATGCTTGGCAACTGGCTTATACTTATGACGATTGCTGTGTCCCGGGGTCATGTGACCCCCTTTTGCGACCTGAGAAGAAAAGTCGATGGGGAAGCTGGATTCACTTAACAACTGTGTTACTAACTTAACACCTGCAGTGATTCACTTAATAACTGTGGCAAGGGAAGTTGTAAAATGGGGCAAAACTCACTTAACAACTGTCTCACTTAGCAATGTCAATTTTGGGCTCAATTGTGGTCGTAAATCACGGACTACCTTTATCTGTTTATTCCTCCTATCTTGTTTCTTAATTTAATTGCCCCTTGATATCCTGTAGCCTGTTTCCTTGTGTCTTTTCCTTGTTTTCTTCTTCTTATTTAGCCCTATCACAACTTCTAGCCAAACAAGTCAGGTAGGTTGTGTTAGAACTGTCGAAACTTGCAGATCTTGTTTTGAGTTGCGTGCCACAGGAAACAATGCCCCAAGAATCCAGAAATGGGGACATCCAATTTTTTTATCCGATTAAAAATACCTACTGGGGTTTTTTTGACCGTCCTCTCGGGTTTTTCACCACGTATATTTAATTTTCCTACAATATCTTAAAACTCCTACTCTTTACCAGATGATTGGATAAACTGAGACGTGTTGTAATGAAGAGCTCAACTCCTGCCACAGGTTGAGAAGGAAAAGGTATAGATTGTCATGCAGTTAGTCCTCAACGACTATAATTGAACCCACAAAGTCGTAAAGTGGATTTCTGTGTGACCATATCTGATTTTATGATCTTTTTAGCAGCAGTTGTTCAGTAAATCCCTTGTTTATTATGGGACACTTACCAGAAATGGGAAGTAAATGTTGATTTCTGGAAATTTGTGTGGCTGTTAATGCGGGCTGGTTTTCAAACACCCAAAATATGATCACATTACTCCGGGGAGCAGACATTGGAACTTCAAATCTGGATCATAGATTACTTTTTGGGGGAGGTCTGTAGTAACTTTGAACGGACACTAAGTGACCGGTTGTAAGTCAAGGATTACCTGTACTGGAGTGTCGTGAACACAATGTTTGGTTGTATCAATATTAATGCCGAGTTTGGGTTTGAAAAAGAGACACTGTTTTTACATGGCTGCTGTGTGTGTCTCTCCCCAGTTTACAACTCTGCTGAGCAACTTTTCCATCTCAACTTCAGGGGCCTGTCTTTTTCCTTTCAGTTGGACTCCTGGACCGAAACTCCAAAGTATGAGGTCAGCTACCTTACTCAAAAAAATAGAAATAATGTATTCATTCCTTCCTTACGCCTGTCAATTGTGAAATGTGTGGTTTAGGCTACACAGCGGGGGTGAATCTGGAGAAGGGTCACAAAAATACCCCATTTGGAGGCCCTAATTGGAGACCGACCATCTTTTCATACGAATTCAGGACACGCATTAAAAACAGCCGGCCTTGTGGACATCATCTTGAACTAACACACACACACACACACACACTGGCACGGATGCACTGTTCCAGCAAATGCCTCTGATTCAGGAGGCTTGACACACACACACACACACACACACACACACACACACACCAAGCTATAGCTGTAGCCATTATGTCAAGCTACGGCATTGTTATCCATATTTTGTTGAATAAACCACAATTGCCCAGGTTAACACTCTACACCAAACCCATAAACTTTGATTTTAAAGACACAGGGGCACCATTCTCCTGGTAACCTAAGTTGGAACCAAATCAAATCACCTTATCACTCACCAAGTTACTTGAAGCAGATCCTGGTTTTGTGGAAGAGATGATTAAAGTTTCCACTAAGTGCTTTAATGTAGAGATTACGGCAGAGACCATCAACCTTTTGGGCACCAGGGACCGGTTCCGTGGAGAGAGGTTTTTCCACGGACCGGATAGTGCGTGGTTTTGTCTGCTGCCTGCATTCGACGGATGGGGCTTTGCTTGTTTGTGTGGCCCGATTGCTGGCATGCCATGGTCTGGTACTGGTCCACGGCCCAGGAGTTGGGGACCACTGGATTACGGTGCTGCTTTAAGAATGTAAAGAAAGAATTTATCCGTGGTGCGTTGGCGATAACTTTTCAATTTGATTCCCACAGCCAAACTTTGCCCACGGCTTAGCCTCTCTGCAAATCCCACACGGGGCAACTGTGAAACGCATGTACATCTACAGTGGAAATAGCCTACAGGATACGAAGTAGGTCCCTTCCACGTTGTGGAAAATATGCCCGGATTATTTGTGAACGTTGCTTTTTCGTGAATATAGGTAGTCCTCGATTTACAACAGTTCCTTTAGTGACCGTCCAAAGTTACAAAGGCACTGAAAAATGTGAATTATTGCATTAGTCTTTATTGAAGTTAGTCTTTCACCGAGATGTGTTTCATCTTCTGTTTTGTGCTTAAACTCTTTTTAAAAAAAAACCTTTGTTCAGTTCAGGAAACTCTTTCAGTTTCCAGGCTGAAAAATCTGCTCATTCACAGATTGATTTCTTGGCATGCAAACCACCTCTCAAAATTCTGCCTTTTTTTTTCTTCTCCTAAATGAATGGCCTCTGGGGATACAGTGAATATCCAGAATAAAATAATAGGGCTTTGGGCTTTTATTTGTTGGCAAGCTTCAAACTATGGTTTATCAATTCAGCCATTCTTTAGCAGAGGCTTCCCCTTTGCCTTGTGTTGGACTACAGTTCCCATCATCCTCTAGTCAGCTTCTGGAGTTGGACTTGCCCTTCCAGTGTGGTGTCTAATTTGAGTTAGGAAGTTTGGGGTATGGAACCTTCAGGATCGGTAAAGGAGTGTATCACATTTTAAATTATTGACATTAATTTATGCTTTTAGGGCACCTATGATGCCACTCAGCTGTTTCCTCGGAAACGTGTATGCAGAATACGTTGATGTTTTGCGAGATGCCGCTGGACCCTCAGGTTTACGACTGCGATTACTCACTGCAGGTAGGTCCAGTTCTGCTCACCACAATATAAAAAAGATGCTGAGACCCTAGAAAGAGTGCAGAGAAGAGCAACAAAGATGATCAGGGGACTGGAGGCTAAAACATATAAGGAACGGTTGCTGGAAATGGGTGTGTCTAGTTTAATGAAGAGAAGGACGAGGGGGGACATGATAGCAGCCTTCCAATATCTCAGGGGCTGCCCCAAAGAAGAGGGAGTCAAGCTATTCTCCAAAGCGCCTGAAGGCAGAACGAGAAGCTTATCAAAGAGAGATCCAACACAGAACTAAGAAGAAATTTCTTATCTTTAAGAACAGTTCTGAGTGCTCCATCACTGGAGGTTTTCAAGGAGAGACTGCACAGCCCTTTGTCTGGAATGGTATAGGGTCTCCTGCTTGAGCAGGGGGCTAGACTAGAAGACCGCCCAAGGTCCCTTCCAGCCCTATGACTCTATATTCAACGTTCTAATTCCAGGTTAAACTATTTGTTCTTGGTTTCCCTGTTAAAGACACTCTAATTTTATTTTCTAAGACAATTGGGATCCGTGCAGGTGCTTCGGAATTATTCTGCAGTTCTCACATCTTCCTTTCTCCTTTATTTCTCCTATGTAGGTTGCGGTCCTGGTGTGTTAGCCGATGCCAAAATACGGGTATCTGAGCGTTGTGTGTATTTCGGTGATTCGTGCCAAGATGTTCTGAGCACTTTGGGGTCCCCTCACAAGGTTTTCTACAAATCTGAAGATAAGGTTAGGCGAAATCCACGCAGATCCTTTTTATAGCCAGCCTGCAAAGACCTTCACTCTGGTCTTTCTTGATGTTAGATAAATTACAGGTGATCCTCAACTTATGACCACAATTGAGCCCAAAGGGTGAAAAATGGCCATAAGTCACTTTTTTCAATGCTTTTTTTGAACTATTCTAAGTCAAGGACCACCTGTGTTCTGTTTAGTTTTCATTAATTTTCCCCGCTTGTATTTATCCGCAAAATATTTTTAATGTCATTTTAATGTATTGAGCATTGTGGGGTTTTTAATTGTGAACTTACGCCTATACAGAAAGTGGCATATGGGTGGATGTGGTTTCCCATTAAATACAGGGAAGTAGTCCTTGACTTACAATTATAACTGAGCACAAGATTTCTGTTGCTCAGCTAGGCCGTCGTTTAAGTGCATTTTGCCCTATTTTACAACCTTTTTGCCACTGTTGTTAAGTGAATCACTGTTAAGTTGTTAACATGGCTGGCCAAGGGATTCTGGGAGTTGAAGTCCACGAGTCATAAAAGAGCCAAGGTTGACTACCCCCAATGTAATCCATTCAGAGCTTAAGGCGCTGCTTTTCCAGTGAGTGCCTGCTACTGTTAAGTTTGAAAATGAAGCTGTTTCTTGCTTATTTTTTTGCAAACAGATGAAAATCCATTCCCCTTCGCCTCACAAGCAAGTCCCTTCAAAGTGCAATGATTTTTTCTTCAACTACTTCACGCTTGGAGTGGTGAGTTAAAGATGGGGTTAGTACTAAACCATGTTTGCTTAACCATAAACACCACTGGCCAGGGTCACCCAATATGCAGAACCAGGTCACCTTAGTTCTAGCATTATCTGAGCTGGTCTGGTCAAAGTCCCAGGGGCTGAAAGGAAGCTCCTGGATCTGCAGCGCCACTAGATGGCGCCTGAGGGCCTCAATCATAGAATAGAACATGGTAGAGCTGGAAGGGACCTTGGAGGTCTTCTAGTCCAGCCCCCTGCTCAGAACCTATACCGTCTCAGACAGGTGAATGTCCAGTCTCTTCTTAATAATGTTCAGTGATGGAGCGCCCATGATTTCTGGGGGTAAGTTATTCCACTGGCTAATTGTCCTCACTGTCAGGGAGCTTCTCCTTAATTCCAAGTTGCTTCTCTCTTTGGTCCGTTTCCAACCACTGCTTCTCGTCCTGCCTTAATAATAATAATAATAATAATGATAAAGTTGGAAGGGACCTTGGAGGTCATCTAGTCCAACCCCCTGCTCAGGCAGGAAACTCTATATCATTTCGGACAAATGGCTGTCCAGTTTCTTCTTTAAAACGTCCAGTGTTGGAGCATTCACCGCTTCTGGAGACAGGTTGTTCCACTGGTTAATTGTTCTCACTGTCAGGAAATTTCTCCTCAGTTCTAGGTTGCTTCTCTCCTTGATGAGTTTCCACCCGTTGCTTCTTGTCCTGCCTTCAGGTGCTTTGGAGAATAGCTTGACTCCCTCTTCTTTGTGGCAGCCCCTGAGATACTGGAATACTGCTATCATGTCTCCCCTATTTCTTCTTTTCTTTAGACTGGCCAAACGCAAGTCCTGCAGCCGTTCTTCGTATGTTTTAGTCTCCAGGCCTCTGATCATCTTAGTTGCACTTCTCTGATTTTTTTCCAAACTCTCAACATCTTTTTTGTGATTTGGCGAGCAAAATTGGCTGCAGTATTCCAAGTGTGGTCTTACTAGGGTTTTAATCTCCATAAATTAATAAAAAAGGCAGATTGTCCCTCAGAGAGTAAAAAGCTGGTAAGATCTTCATAGAAAGGTTTGGAGGTGCCACACATAACATTATGTAAAATTGCATGCCAGTCAAACTGCTGGCTCACGGTCCAGATGCATCATGGCGAAACCGCGCCCACCCCATTGCCAGCAGTGGAAAAAAAGTCGCGATACGTCGCAACACATCACATGATGTTGCGAGTTTGACACCGCTGATGTAGAGTGTTGCAATAATTTAAACAGCTTGATTGATTATGATGGTTTATTTCATCACTTAAATGTGGTATCCATGCGTATTTTTTCCCTGTTCTTTTTTTTCCTCTCTCACAGGACATCCTTTTTGATGCAAATACTCACAGAGTGAAGAAGTTTGTTTTGCATACCAATTATCCTGGTCATTATAACTTTAACATGTGAGTAAAGAGCTCTAATGTACGTATTCCCTTTTCCATTTCAGTTTGAAAAGTTATGAGCTAAACAACCTTTATGGCTTTCTCCTAACTGCTAATTCCATTCTTGCAGTTATCACCGTTGTGAATTCAAGATCCCACTCGTTATTAAACGAGGTAAGAAAGAGGAATCTTTGCCAAAAGGTATGTGTGAATAGAAACATCTAATAGGAATGAATTATGGGCTCCTGGGTTCTAGGACCTTTTTTAATGTGTTCTAAAAAAAAAAAAAAAAGTTTTAAACAAGCAAAGTTGAGAATAAGCCCAAAGTTACAGGTTGTGAAGCTGACACACTTTTAGGCTCAAGATGGCCAAAAATATGGGTGAATTTACAAAAGATTAAGGAAACAAAACAGAAAGACAAATACTAGTGCTCCCATCCTAATATATTCCCAGCTTATTGGTGTTTTATTAGGATTGTGCCACTGACATGTAATCTTATAAAATGTTTGTTATTTTTCTCCCCCCAAACTAGAAAGCACTGAGTCACAGACGGAAACCTGCACGACATATAGCAAGGTAAGTCACAAAGAGGAGCTTCTTAGAACGGCCCTGACACTTTACAGGTATTTTACCTGTTTTTTTGTCCAGGTTAACAGGAGGGGAGCTGGAAAAGACCATTTCCCAAGGGCTCTCAGAAAAATCTGGGCTTGATGGGTTCATCCCAGAACACGGCTTACTTTGAGATATTTCCAGTTTTAAGTTTCCAGTAAGGTCCACGAAAGAGCAAGCTTCATTAGCCAGAAATGCTAAGGCTTTGGATCACCGCTGAGAGACGTTTGCAGTTCTTCCAAAATGGCACCTGAATTCTGGGAATGAGACAATGCATGCCGAACCTTTTTGCATTTGTTTTTAAATAAGAATATTCACAGAGGGCTTCATTCTCTCAATTTCTTTTTTTCTTGTAGTGGGATAATATTCAAGAGCTTCTTGGACATCCTGTGGAAAAACCCGTAGTTCTTCACAGGTAAAAAAGAGAAGGAAAAAAAAAAGCTTTTCTTTGGGAAGAAATAGCATACCTGGCTAGCCGGATATGGGGGGAAAAAAATCACAGCACCAAAAATGATATTGAGGAGCTGAAAGGGGATAGATTCTAGATTATTTAGTACTGCTGCAGAATTCTACTCAGCCTTCATTTGCATCATGCAAAACTCATTGTCAGAATAGAATACAGAATAGAGCTGGAAGGGACCTTGGAGGTCTTCTAGTCCAACCCCCTGCTCAAGCAGGAGAACCTATACCATTTCAGACAAGTGACTGTCCAGTCTCTTCTTAAAAACCTCCAGTGATGGAGCACCCACAACTTCTGGAGGCAGGCTGTTCCACTGGTTAATTGTCCTCACTGATAGGAAGTTTCTCCTTAATTCCAGGTTGCTTCTCTCCTTGATTAGTTTCCATCCATTGTTTCTTGTCTTGCCTTCTGGTGCTTTGGAAAATAAATTGACCCCCCCCCTTCTTTGTGGCAGCCCCTCAGATACTGAAAGACTGCTATCCTGTCACCCCTACTTCTTCTTTTTCACTAAACTGACCATTCCCAATTCCTGTGGCTGTTCTTCAACCCTTGTAACTTTGAACGGTCACTAAATGAATATTTGTCCTCAGTTACTGTCTGAATTTTGATCAGGTGACCAGGGGGATGCTGCAGTGGCTGTAAGCCTGAAAAATGGACGTAGGTCACTTTTTTCCAGTGCCATTGTAACTTTGAATGGTCACTAAATGAATGGTTATAAGTTGAGGACTGCCTGTACTCCTGTCTTCACCGTAATTTTGTTTGTTGAATAATATGATAGAATGTATTACTTGCTGAATAAGGTGTAGCACAGCAAAGAATGTGAGGCATCTTCATTTCAGAACGTCGGTTCGAGGCCAGCAAAACATACATTGCGGAATTGCGCCCTGTGTTGAAAAATTCAAGATTCCTAAAAGGGCGGGTTTTTTTTTAATCCTAGCTGAGGTTCGCTTCATACAACCGGTCAACATACCTGCTTCTCTCTTTCCTACAGGTCGTCCTCCCCCAACAACACAAATCCATTTGGATCAACCTTTTGTTTCGGATTACAACGGATGATCTTTGAGGTTAGGAAAGTAACCGTCAGCTGGGGTGGGGCTGGGTTGAAATATTGCTGTGCCTTTTTAAAAAAACGGATTAGGAGCAATTTAGTGGATCAATTTTGCAGCCTTCCCTGCTGTCTTTTCCGTTGAGTTGCTTGTGAAAACACGGCAGGGAAGCTGCAAATGACGTTCACATGAAATGCTGGAAGCATGATGAGCTGGTTGTTAAGTACCCAGATTGCGGTTATGTGGCCTCAGGAGTGCTAAGAGAGCCAGAACTTCAAGGACTTGATATAAGGGCCACTTGTATCAAAGCACCATCATAACTTTGAACGAACAAATGATCATTAAGTGGAGACTGCCCATAGTTCATCTGGGCATGCTTCCTGTCTGGACTACCTCACAGGGCTTACATCCCTTTCCATGGGATTGGCTGAGCCAGCCCTTCCCTGGGGATTCTGGCCTGGTCTTCAGCCAATGCCTTCTCTTGCTCCCCATCCCCTTGGCTGCCCTTTTGAAGTTGTTGGCCATCTTTTATTCGCAGGTGATGCAAAATAACCACATCGCGTCCGTCACCCTTTACGGCCCGGCCCGGCCCACCATCCAGATCAAGACCTTGGACCTTCCCCAGTGAGCAATACCCATTGAACATAATGCTACACAATTAGTTCAGCGTGCCTTGGTTTGCTGCCGCTTATCATATGGAAAAGCACGAAACGGTGGAGAGCATGTGTGGATGTGCGTGTTTATAGGTGTGGCACAGAGAGAGAGAGTGTGTGTGTGTACAAGAAAGCTTGGCTCGCGCTCTCTGTGGATGGCAGAGGCCAGAAATCCTCTGGAGCTGAACCTTGCAGGACTTGGAGCCAGTGGCAGAGGCACATAACACACACACACACACACACACACACACAACTAGGCAGCACTACCATTAATCCTCTCTTCTCGCTTGGCCTCAGAAGATGCGGCATAAATGCAAATGGTTTGGCTTTGCAGAGTTGGATGGTGGAAGAGCTTCCGAAAAGAACTCAGCAAGAACTCCACAACTTAGAAGCACAAGTATCTCAGCCTTGGGCATCTGGAAGCAGGTTTCTTTATATATAGATAGATAGATAAATGTATATGTATTTTTCCCCCCTTTCTTTCCCATCTGTGTTTGCGTTCCACGTATTCAGAGTCACGTTCCTGTGTTTTATTTTGCTTCCGGGGAGGGGGAAAGGAATAAGACAAGAATATGGATGGATACAGACTCACACAGAGCTCATGTATAGGTGTGTGTGTGTGTGTGTGTTAAAAAAATTCATGGGTATTTCGGTAGCTTGGGATATCACACCAGGCTCGGCTCACAGGAAGAGACAAGTCAGTCATTGGATGTTGGAAACGAGGCACAAAGCAACCTAAAGACTTGGTGGTCATATATATATGTGTATATATATTTGCACTGCATACACTTTAATTACTTGACCAGATCTTTACCAAGTGCTGGGCGTGAGTGGAGGCTGGGATAAGTGTTTGCCACACCTAAAACAGTGGAAGAGAATCCGATGCAATTTTTTTCTGCACTAATGCTTACTTGACGCAATGAAGCAATTTTGTCGTCTGCCACGTTGGGTGAACTAAACCCCACTTTCCGGGGTTGGAGAGAAGAAACAAAACTCGAGTTAGATGATTCCTACGAATTATGCTTTTAGGAAGAGTTCGGATATATTTTTTTTTCTTTTGTATGCAAAACAGATAAATAATATACATTCTCCGAAGAGGGATGCGGCTACCTTAACTGTCCTCAGTGTGACATGGATCTGATTGCAAAGTCTGATTTCCTTGTCTCGTAAACAAGTTTAGTGGGGAAATTAGCGCTGTTCATACCAGATTCCTTTTTTTTTTCCTCACATATATCCTGCTGAGGTGAAATGGAAAACATGTCGCCTTAAATGCACAGGAATTTTCCCGGGGACTTTTTGAGGAGCACCAATCCAGGAGGAGAAATTTCTGGTTTGTCTTAACTTGTAGCACTGCAGAACGAGGACTGCCTCTGTTTTTTTTTTTAATTTAATGCCAAAATTTTAGCCAAAGAGATCTTTAATCTAGTTTCAACATTTCTACGTGTATAGATAGACATAGATAGGAAAAGAGATCAGTGCTGGGCAGGTCCACATCCTCCATCTGTGGCAGGGGGAAAAAAATAATTTAGTGACGTCTAGTTAAAGTTATTTAACACTTGTTATTTCAAGAAGATTTTAAGGGAACGCCTGTGATTCTTTTGCTGCTTTTTGTCTAAAAAAAAGTAAATAATAAATGGTCTTGCTTTTCTTTTGATTGCAACCCTTTTTACAACAGCCGAGAGAATTTAAAAAAAAAAAAAAAAACCCGCACAGAGAGAAGTTTATAATTTTATCCCATTTTTTTTAATATTTTGGTGTAGCAACTTGTGATATAAATTATAGATGATTTTTGTGAGTTTTAAAACTGTGTATAAATACAGATTTTTGTAAATACAAAAAGAAAAAAAAACATTTTGTAATTTTAATTCTGTGTACAGTGAAAGCGTGTATAAATTTATCCACAAATGAGGAATAGGGAATTTCAGAGTGTTAAAAAAGTTATCAATCCTGGACCGGTAGCAGGATAAATGTTGTCTGGGTTTGCTGTAAATTAGTGTATGTGTGAGTGTGTGTGTTTGTGTCCCTCCTTTTTGTCATTCAGTCCTCTACACACTGTTGGACTAATAAATAAATAAATCAAGGAAGCCCCATTGGGCTAACAGGAAAAAATGGTTTAGGGTTTACCTTTATTCTTAAATGTTTCTCCAACTCTTGTTTTTCCTTGGACAGTTGCTTGCTAAGAAATTTCCTTTTCTTTTATCTCATGAATTTTTGTTTTCATAATTCCCCTGTAAATTCTCTGAAATGTGTTAACATCTAGCATGTACATTCAAAGGACAAATAAACAAGACCCAGTTGCTGTGTTTAGTTACAGTGGCTGAGTATATGTACTTTGCAATCAATGAGTCGGTCTTTGATTTATCTTCCCGTCTAGAACCTGCAGAGGTGATGAATCCTAGATTGTTGTTGTTCTTAATTGCGAAGTCGTGTCTGACCCATTGTGACCCCATGGACAACGTTCCTCCAGGCCTTCCTGTCCTCTACCATCTTCTGTAGTCCATTGAAGCTCACGCCTACTGCTTCAGCGACTCCATCCAGCCACCTCATTCTCTGTCGTCCCCTTCTTCTCTTGCCCTCCATCTTTCCCAGCATCAGGCTCTTCTCCAGGGAGTCCTTCCTTCTCATTAGGTGGCCAAAGTACTTGAGTTTCAACTTCAGGATCTGGCCTTCTAAAGAGCACTCAGGGTTGATCTCCTCTAGGACTGACCGGTTGGATCGCCTGGCAGTCCAGGGGACTCGCAGGAGTCTTCTCCAGCACCATAGTTCCAAGGCCTCCATTCTTTGGCGTGCAGCCTTTCTTAGAATCCTAGATTAGGGTGAGTAATATTTGCACAGTGCTCAAAGGTACATTTCTTTAAAGCCAGGATTACTTTAATACATTCTGTGAGCTTATGTGTTCCCTCTACAGGCAATCCTTGATTTACAAGCATTCGTTTAGGGCAGGGGTAGGCAACCTCAGCTCTTTTATGACTCATGGACTTCAGCTCCCAGAATTCCTGAGTCAGCATAGCATAGCTGACTCAGGAATTCTGGGAGTTGAAGTCCATGAGTCATAAAAGAGCCGAGGTTGCCTACCCCTGGTTTAGGGTCACGTAATCCCCTTTTGCGACCTTCTGACAAGCAAAGTCAATGGGGAAGCCAGATTCACTTAACAACCATGTTACTACTCCACAACTGCCGTGATTCAGTTAACAGCTGTCGCAAGAAAGTTCGTAAAACGGAGCAAAACTCAACTTGACAAATGTCTCACTTAGCAATAGAAACATTGGGCTTAATTGTGGACATATGTCAAGGACTGCCTGTACAGCAACAGTAGGCCCATTGGACATAAAACTAGCCAGTGTGTTGGATACAAAACGACCCAACAAGCGCAGTTTGCGATCATTCTCTTAAGACGGCCGTTCCTTTAAGAGTCACCAGAAGGACTTCTTATTAAGAAAACTACTCAGGGAAGAATCGCACAGGTGAATTCATATTACTAAGTGGTTTCGTGTCTAGCATTGGCTATAAAAGATGAACTGAGATGGTTGCATTTCAACTGTCTCGCCCTACAAAAGCTACACCAGCCCTCAAGATCACCTTCAACAGAACTGAACTGGTCAGTTGAAGATCTAACATCTGCCTTCGTGCAACATGATAAGCTTGAGTAGAGTTGATCTTGGTTAACTGGTTTGTGGGTTAGCACATGGTTTCTGCTTGGTTTCTGGTTCAGTGTATTTGTTGGACCCCGAAAAAAGGATAATTCAGCATCCTTGTGTGAGCCCAGCCATGGTGTCTGCCAACCCTCAGGCAGAATAATTTTTGGCGGTGTCTTTCATTTTCTTCTTCCATCGGAAAGCTTTCCTTATCTGCTTGTTTTGAGTGCAAGACAGCTGGGGGTTGTGGAGGAGATTCCACATTAGCCAGATTTCAGCTATCTTCAGGCCGTGGACTACCATGAGATCTTTGTAGAAACAAGGATCAAAAGTCTGCAGGTTGGGAGCTGCTGAAGGTTTGGGTATTCCAAAAGTCTTGAACCCTTCGTGCAAGACGGGCTTCAGGTTTATCCGTTGCAAGCACATGCCCAAAAAGACATCGTCAATTGGGAAGAGTTCCACTTGGGTGCAAGCTTGAGCAAGCTTCTTCAAGGTGCTGATGGACAACAAGAAACCACCACCCCCGGCATAGGCTGGGTACATAGCTAGCCCGTACATTGTTTCTGGAATATAATACTTGCTTTTTCGGATTCGGATGGGTTGTGCATTGTAGATGATGTCCCCAACAAAGAGGTCCTCGGAAGGATTGCAGCTTGCCAAGAAGTTGACGATGTTTTCCATGTTGACAAAAACATCAGCATCACCTTTGAATATGAACTTGGTCCTGGAACAAAACTCATCAGCCCAGCTGAGGAAATGGATCTCTTTCAAGGTCAAGTTAAAGAAGGTATCCAGAAAGTCCCAGAGTAAAATGTCCCGATACAACTGGCTCTCTTGCTGGACCAGAGTTTCCCACGTGGGCAGTGCCGTCTTGTTCTTGGGAACTCCTAGGAGGAAAACTCTTTGGACCTGCATCCCGTTGACCAGGCCTTCTCTCCCCCATGTCTTGCGTACAATCTCACGATGGTCAAACTCCTCAACCAGCGATTTTATGGCAATGAGCAAAAAGGGCCTTTCTGAGCTTCTCGTGCACTTCTTCGGCTGATTAATGAGAAGGTTGAATTTCCTGTTGTCCTTATTCCTTAGGTAAAGTCTAAAATCAAAGGTGGAACGAGTCAGAGGGGCTGGATTGGTGACTGGGTCTTCCTGCGTTTCCAACTTGGCATCTTTCATAGGCGAGATAATTTTAGGCTTCGATGCGTAACTCTGCGCAGTCTGCTCTTTCCGGAAAACGGGAACGCGGGAGTCCCTGTGAGCTGCGGTTGAAGTCTTCTTCTGGCCTTCTACTTGTTCTTCCCTGTGGGACGTGTGGCCCAGCTGGGAATAGAGCATGGTGAAAAGAGCTACTACCAGACAAAGTGTACAGATGGCATCGCTCTTGAGTTGAACTCTCATCATTTCCAGGAATTTCAAAGAAATATCCGATGTAGTCCTAGGGGAAATCTTTGCTGGCGAGGTCCATCTGCAAATACAGACCACTGTAGGTTAGTACAAGCTTTGCAACGTCATTCAGAATCTCAAAAATGTCCTCCACTCAGGACAGGGATATTAACCAGCTAATGGAGGATGTTCCTGCTACCATGTTTTGTTTTGTTTTTTTCAAAACCAGTGTTTTGTTTTTTTAAAAAGTGGTGTAGCCATATAATAAAATTGGAAGAGGGTAGAGTGTTGTTTTTTTTCTCCTGCATAGATTTTAATTCCGGATCCTTTAGGGCTATTCTGGGCCAAATTATCATTTTTAATGTGACAGAAAAGGGGAAAATAACGACTTGCCAGCTGTTGAATAATTGTGTCAATTTACCAAAATAAATATAATTTAAATTTGATCAAGGTTTTGCTTACGGCTTTTAGAAACTGGAAACTCTTTAGGAAAATAATGAATACATTTTATTTTGGCCTTATTTTCTTTTTCTTTGTGGTTTCTGGCATACTCAACAGAACTCAGTTTTAAATTTAAATTATCAGTTCAGGAATACAAGATGCTGAACAATGACTAGGGCAGGGGTAGGCAATCTCGGCTCAGGAATTCTGGGAGTTGAAGTCCATGAGTCATAAAAGAGTCAAGGTTGCCTACCCCTGGACTAGGGTGCAGCCAAGGATTGCAGATTTATTCTCTCTTTGCCACCCTCTGTTGCTTGGCTAGATTTCTGCAGCCTAACTCTTAAGTGCCCACATCCTTCCTCTTTTCATAAAGTATATGGTACACTCCTAGGAAGGTGGCAGCAAGTAGTTGATCTCAAAATCTAAGTTTAGATCTGGTTAATATTTGGAGGGCAGCCACCAAAAATTCTCAGAGCTACAGGGTCAAATGGAAGTCAACATCCTACAGAAATGCAAATTAATTATCGATGTCAAGAAAACAACACGGATGAATAACAGAGTTGGAAGGGACACCTTGGAGGTATTCTAGTCTAACCCCTTGCTCAAGAAAGAGACCCTATATCATTTTTTCTTTATTTTTTAAAAATTATTCATCCAACAAAAATTGCAAATTCAAATGAGCAAAATGAAAAAAAACTAAAATGTGACAGGGACAATAAGCACGTGAGTGCACTTATGCACATACCCCCTTAGGGACTTCTTAAATGTTGGCTGAGGTCCACAGAAGTTACGTTGGAGTTAAAACTATGAAAGTTAATACCCATTCAAGGCAAGTGACTATGCAGTCTCTTCTTAAAAGCTTCCAAGGATGGAGCACAGACCACTTCTGAAGACGTTCCACTGCTTAATTGTTATCACTGTCAGGAAATTTCTCTTAATTCTCCTTGATTAGTTTCCATCTATTGTTTCTTGTCCTGCTTCTTCTGCTTTGGAGAAGTTGGTTGACCCCCTCCTCCTTGTGGCAGCCTCTCAAATACTGGAAGGCTGCTATCATATCACCCCGGTCCTCCTTTTATCTAGACCAGACATACCGTACTTCCCGGCGTGTAAGACGACTTTTACAAGCGTTAAACTTGGCGCCGAAGTCGGGGGTCGTCTTATACGCCGAGTCGTCTTATACGCCAGAAATTACGGTAGTTTCCAGCGTATAAGACGACTTTCTAGGCATGCAACTCGGCGCCGAAGACGGGGGTCGTCTTATACGCCGGGTCGCCTTATACGCCGGAATATACGGTACCCAATTCCTGCAATCCTTTTTCAAATGTTTTAGCCTCCAGTCCCCTGATCATCTTTGCTGCTCTCTGCACTCTTTCCAGAGTCTCAACATCTTTTTTACATTGTGGTGACCAAAACTGGATGCCTTTTTCCCAGTGTGATCTTGAATTTGATATTACCAAAGTCAAGCAAGACTTAGCGCCTTGATTTTTAGAGGACATGTAAAAACTTGACTTGCTCATTTCTGTAGTATCTTCTGAGTCCACCCAACAAACTGAGACCCACCCTTTGGACTCAACCATTCTCTTGACTTATACACGCTGTGCTGTTTTATGAAAGAAAACTATTCTGAATATGATTGTATCACTTTTTCCAGTCCGGGCAGAGAATTTAATGCACGGTACAAGTTTCATTCACCTGATAGCAAGGCCCAGTAATGTTAAATCCTGGATTTAAGTGAGGATTTCAATGTGGAGCTGGCTTGACCTAAGGTTCAGGATACAAATGACAACTTTGGATGTGAGTCTTGGCTCTCTTTGCAGCCTCAGTCAATAAACGCAGGCCTTGGAACCCATTTTTGTGAGAAAATGCTCCAATGTTTCCATGA